AAAACCAGGTGTAACCTAGAAAGGAAATTCCTGGTACCCCGACGGACCCCATCTACGGCTTACAGGTATCGTCGTGTACTCCTCCTGCCCTGACTTAACGGGCGGCAGCGCACTTGTGACTTTTGACTTATGAGCTGCAGAGGGCCTAGTGGAAGTTTATTTCACACTAGCTGATGCCTACGACTGCGTTCGAATTTGTGAATCGCTGCTTCAGTGGGTTCGATTCCAGGACGATATTATCAAATCGGTAAAGCTGTTTTGAAGATTACCCGGAACAAATAGACAGACAGGTTTTTAGGCATAGGTATCGTGCAAATAACCGTGTGAGCATGAGAAAAACCTATTATTTTTACATTATTTTTTTTATTCATTTATTTGTATGAATATGAACTCGAAAGCGAGCGCGTGCGGCGTTGCGATTAGTGTAGATCTCAGTGCGGGCCAATCGCAGGGCCAAACGCGGTTACCGTGATGATCGAGTAAATGTAAAATAAATTTACACTGGGGCCTCAGGAGTCCATTGGCGGCGCTAGTTACTCACCATCAGGTGAACCGTCTGCTCGTTTGCACTCTTATACCAAAAAAATAATGTGTCTAACTAATCAAATTAATTTCATACTTAACTTTGAGAGTACAATTACATTTTTAATTACATACATTCAAACATGTTGCAATAAAAACATATTAATGAGGGTAAAATCTTAAAGATAATTAGAAAAAAACATGGCCTTAAACTGATTAATTTCAATGATATCGAACACCACATACCTAGCAGACCATTTTGTGTTTATGTGACCTTCAACACTTGTTGTTTCGATTTATTATTCTTCTATAGATAAATTGTGTTATCTACATATTTTAAGGTTACCTAGGCCAAACAATAATACTCAAATTTTCAAACTATAATGACAAAGACTTGCTTTGAATACTATACTACGAATGTACTCAATAGATAAAGATAACTTTTTTTTTTGTTTCAAAATGTGTGTAGTTTAGAAGTAGCGCACTTCTTTTTTGGTTCACGATAACTGCGCGACGGCGACGAGACGATGCGAGGCCATTTGTACTCGTACATGATATTTTTTTACAACACATTGATTCATATCTTCGTATCAATAATTTATTATTTATATTCATCTTGTTACAATAATTTTGACTGCACGGATGGCGTAGTGGTTTAAGCGGTGGCCACGCCGCTTCCTACTACGCCGAGTGTTGTGGGTTCAAACCCCACATGGGACGACACTTTGTGTGATCCACAAATTGTTGTTCTGAGTCTGGGTGTTCTTTGTGTCCGTTTCATGTATGTTTGTAAAGTCCCTCGCGATACAGGATTTATTCCTAATGCGGGAGTTGTCTTTAAAAAAAAAACAAAGAAAACAAAGAAAAACAAATATTGCTCTAACCATACTAATCCATACTAATATTATAAATTTATAAGTGTGTCTGTCTGTCTGTCTGTTATCTTTTGACGTTTAAACCGCTGAACCGATTTAAATGAAATTTGGTACAGATATCGTCCGAGTTCCGGGATAAGACACAGGGTAGTTTTTATCCCAGAAATCACCCTTTAAAGGTGTGAAAGGAGGGGGGGAGGGGTGAAAAGCTTTGTATGGGAAATTAATAACAGCTGAATCGATTTAGATGAAATTAGGTATGAAGAACTTTTATTCTTGAGGAAAGAATAAGCGGGCGGAGCCTATGTAAAAGATTGGTACTACCTACTACTGCACTAAAAGTACAATACTTACTTACACTACTACAGTCAAAGTAGTATTGTATACTACTTTGACTGCACGGACGGTTTAGTTGTTTAAGCGGTCACCTCGCCTCTCCGCTACTGCGCTGAGTGTTGTGGGTTCGATCCCCACATGGGTCAACACTTTGTGTGATCCACAAATTGTTGTTCTGAGTATGGGTGTTCTTTGTAAAGTACCTCGCGACACATCTCGATTTATTCCTAGTGCGGGAGTTGTCTTTTAAAAAAAGAAAGAAAAGAAAGACAGAATACTGCCTATTATGTTTATACGTTAATCTACTATTATGTTGATCAGTCAAATACTTTGGATTTGTTCATATCTATCATAATTTTTTTTCAACCAAACAGTTATTTCATATCTTTTAATACATGTGGAAAATGTGAGATCCCAAACTAGGCAGAGCCTGTACTATGGTAACCAGACTGCTGATAAACATACTTATATATTTTTATGTGATAGATAAATTACACCCAGATACAGAACAATTGACCGTGAACCCACCTCTGTCTTAGCAGTCAGGGTCACTAACCACTAGACCAACAGGCCCGTCAAATGTAAAATTTACTCATTATAAGGATGTTAAGGGTATGAGTGATGTAGTAGCAAAATTAGATGAAGTCGAATGTTTTTAATAAAATATGAATACTGATAATTACGGATGTATACAAACTACTTGTTTCGCCGGCACGGATTCAACAAACCAATTATTGGACGCTCCAGTGGCATAAAGGTCAGACATGTTTCAAGTTTCTGAAGGCTATTAGAAGTGTTCTAGGATAACAGAGTCGCAGAGACTATATTTCTAACAATTCACTGACCGGTACCATATATAATCCATAAAATATTAAGCCATAAGCTTCATTGTGGTTAGGCATTAGATCATAAAGAGGCAACGATATGGTAACGGTGATATGGCTACGAATGAGATATAAAACATTTAAGCACTCAACAACAACTCAGTCGAAAGACGTCCACTGCTGGACATATGTTCTCCACAATTACCGGTCCTGTGCTGCCTGCATCCAACGCGTTTCAACAAATTAGCGTCATAATTAGTCAGGCGCACACAAAGACGACAAAGACTTCAAAATTATACGAGTATTGCTATATAAAATAATAACTTTTCGTTATTCATTGGAAACATTTCTAATATATGTATCTAAAAAATTCTAGAATCACTCTTAGAAGTTATCAACAATGGAAGTACTGAGATCGCAACAGTTAAGTATGAACACAAGAAAACATATAGTATTTTTATGGTATGGATTGAGTTTGGAAAGGGGTTCCAGTACACAATAAATCTCTAAAACAAAAACAAAATGCGTATAATTTAAATGTAATTTAGTCAGCGTCTACATTGTTTATTGTTACTTTATCATGCAATAACATATTTTTTCTATAATTCTCGAAAACTGCGTAGCAGCGATTTGAAACAGTCAATACTAATTGTACTCTATTATCGTTGTCTGTTTTTTATCACAAGCACTTTGTAGCTTTGACTTGTTAGTAATCAATCTATCTGAACGTATAAACTTTCAAAAAGTCTGTACAAAATCGGAGCTCAAATTTGAATATAATATACAGTAGTTAGCATAGGTATTACCTGTGTTTGCATTAAAGAAGACCGACAGATCCTGTACCCCTAGTTATAGTTTTGAGATTTGCACCATTTAAGATTGAATCATATTTTCCTGTAATTATCATATTTTAGAACTTTGCTAAAATTATATAAATTCTTATCAAAAAAAATTACAACTACAATAACTGAACGTTCAAGTGTTGTCAACAAAACGCATTCCTCCGTTTTTTAAACTTTCCATGCATAAAATATAAATAACATAAAAAACGAGAGGTTTAAATCGATATTTGTGAATAAGCTTACTAGTGCATTTAGCAGTTAAAAATAAACATGGATTTTACTAACTAGTTAAATTGACTGTACATATTAGACGAAGTAGTAAAAGAATTAATTATTTTAAATCATTAGGGTTTGCTAGGTAGGTAGATTAGAGGGAATTTAACAGTAAATCTAGAATTTTTTAAATTATTATTTAGAGAATGGTAGCTATATTTAATAAAATAATTACTAGATTTACTGTTGAATCGGCGAAATAGGGTCTTTATGCATCGTCTGAAAACAGCTTATTGGCAAAAACGCGTGAGTAAGTAGTAACCCGAACCTACGTATGAAAAAATCGAATGATAAATCACCGGTCTTTCACAGTTCACTGTGATTTTGTCCCATTACTAGAAGCGGCAATGTAACCGCTTAAACCACCACGCCATCCATGCAATCAATTTAGAGAATAATGTTAATACAAAAATAAGTTAGTGCAATGCCGTAAAGACTCAGACTGTTGATGACATACCGTTGCAGCAAGAATGGCTCCTTCGTTTCAGGCGCAGGTATGATATAGCACATATAGTTTTAGTTGATGAGGTGCTGACATATCTGATTGAGTTTAAACGTAAATAACTAAATTAGGGGCATCCATTAATTACCTGAAGCGTTCAGGGGGTCGAGCCGAATCTCATCTAATCTTACTTTGGGAAGAAGGTGGGAAAACTGGATAAAAATTTAAAATTGATAAATATACAATTTGCGATTTCTAAAATGTAAAGAGAGAGAGACAGATTTCAGTTGTTTGTAGAGAAAATGATATTTTTATTAACTGATTTATAACAGACAAAGACCTTATATCGACCACCTCTACTAATCAATCACCTCTACTATATAGTTAAAAGAGAGATTATCACTTATTATTGGCACGATTTCATGAAGTCAACGTACTGGTTACATGTGAAGAGATTTAAACACGTCTTTTTGAGTTAACAAGAAAGATTATATTAAAATCTTTATGATTCTAGGGGAAAGGACTCAAGGGACGACAATACACTTGAGACTCTTGAGTTACAGGAGTCCATGGGTGGTGGTAGTTACTTACCATCAGGTGACCCGTCTGCTCGTTTGGCCTCATATACCATAAAAAAGTCTACATTACCAAACGAAAATAATGTAACACTCGTAAGTATTGCATGACCTTGTTATTTACGAGCTCTAGTTTAATATTTGTAATGGTTCGATCCTTGAGAGTGACTCGAGCTAAACAAAATCATTGTCTGAATTAGGTGTTCGAACTATGATTGCAACGGCGGGGGGTGGCCGCATCGGAATGTCGAATGTGTCGAACATTCTTCATAAATCTGAATACGCCCTCACTGATATCGAGCAAGGTTCAAATGGAAGGGTTACGTCAATATAAAAACTCTACAGGTCTTAGTGCTGATATCATTCATCGAATAGCACTCTCAGAAACTGCATCACATCTGAAACAAGTGCAGATCTTAAAACTAATTAAAATGGCCGGTTTAAAGGTAAATTACTATTTAATATTTTATAAGCCCAGTACTTTTGCATATGAAAACTAGATTTCATATCTAAATTTTTTTAATGGTTTGCCACAAGAGTTTAAGAAATAGCAATTAACCAAAAAAAAAATCGATTTTAATGCACCTAAGCATAATGTATTGAAATAAACTAATTTATTTTATATGTACAGGGAACCTCCAACATCTGGAATAACACATAAATCTATACTAATATTATAAAGCTGAAGAGTTTGTTTGTTTGTTTGTTTGAACGGGCTAATCTCAGGAACTACTGGTCCCATTTGAAAAATTCTTTCAGTGTTAGATAGCCCATTTATCGAGGAAGGCTATAGGCTATATATCATCACGCTAAGACCAATAGGAGCGGAGCACCAATGAATAATGTTTCAAAAACGGAGAAAAATTATTACTATTAAGCGACGTAGACGACGTTGCGCGGGTCAGCTAGTTACGAAATAAAAGTCTTAGACTACAATGAATTGGTGTGGAGTGCTGTTCTCCTAGATAGATAACTAGGTTGCCTGTGTGTAGGAGTTACAATCCCAAACGCAAATGGAGTTGTTGTAAACTGTATAAATTATTCCTTGTTATTCCCAATCTTGTGTAGTATTTTTCTTTAAAAATATTGGAACCAAACCAAAAATATACTCTTATAAATAAAACAAGACTTTTCCAAATCGGTTCATAAATGACAAACGAAAAAAATACAATGGAATTAAGATTTTCATTCTTTGAAGTCGGATTAAATTTAAAATTTCTTATATATATATATATATAACCTAGCTCGTCTCAACCTTTGCTCTGCTGTCGATGGCGTCCGCGGGACACTTGGGTCACTATCAAGGGTCTTCTGGATACAATTCTTTCGGCGCAAACTCATTTAACACGGCATCGGCTTCTGCGTACACTGGCAACTACGGCGGTGCACATATCCCCATATTGCGGTATGAGAACGTGAACAATGGCGATGGTACTTACAGATACAGGTAAGTCTGTATACAATTGAGTTAACAACAACTATATTTTTTTAGTAAATCCCTACTAATGTTATAAATGCGAAAGTAACTCTATCTGCCTCTTACGCTTTCACGGCTAAACAGCTGAACCAATTTTAATGATATTTGGCATGGAGATACTTTGATGGTTGAGGAAGAACATTTTCACTACGATAACCGACATACACGCAGGCGGAGCCACGGGCAAAAGTTACTCTTCTATAAACATTAAGACCTTTGTCGAGAAACACCTTATTTTTTAATCGTAAACTTATTATCAAATTACCGCATGATACACATCAAAATAAATATCGAAGAATATTCTTCTTGCAAGCCACTCCGTAAAAAAACAAGTATGATTTATCATCTCGACGTGCCCTACAAATGAAAAATCGAGTTCTTGATGGCTATTTTATTATTTCAGTTACGAAACCGGCAATGGCATATCAGCGCATGAAAGTGGAGCACCCCGCGCACCTGGTCCGGAAGGACCCGCAGTAACTGCTGAGGGAGGATTCTCTTATACCGCCCCCAATGGTCAGCAAGTCTCTCTCTCCTACACCGCAGATGAGCACGGTTTCCATCCAGTTGGCTCTCACATTCCCACCCCTCCACCGATCCCTGAAGCTATATTACGCTCTATCGAATTCAACAGACAGCACCCGTCATCGTAAGTAATTGCACATTTTTACCCTAATACAATATATTTAGATAATTTTTAGTTTAGTTTAGTTTTAAAAACAGGAAATCAATGTATTAAACGTTTCACATCGTCATTAAAGGAAAAAAGGAATTAATTTCGTTTAAAGCTACTACGTAAATTCTTGTTAGAATATTCTCTGTAATATCATAAAAAAATATCCTTTGTAATGGAAATGCCGATGGTTTGTTTTTTTACATAACATTTTGTATTCTCGATTATGACACAAAGCAATAAGATACTAAAACAATACCCAATCATAGTTCAAGACCCTTTTACTTAAGACATGAAACGTGTCCTTTGTACATTCTTTATACAGCAATTTGCTGTCAAAAGAATAGACATTACAAAATTGTTCTTCATAATGCATTCATTTGACCTTTATATCAGACAAGTATAGCAAAATATTTGAGGGTACATGATTTCAAAAGTACCTACTATAGACGGCTTTTTAACTGTATAAGGAATATATAATACTATGCTCAACGAATCTATGAAGCATTAGAATACTACAAATAAATTCGATGTTATTGTGTATTGTAAATTTTATTTAATATTGCCTAATACAAAGTAATAGCATTTTTGATTTTATCGTGGCGCTTGCATGTACATCGTAATCATTGCAAAAGCATAATTATTACTCGGCAGATGCTTAAGTACTGAAATGAAAAAAAACTTCCCTAATTTTAAACGAGTACATGGCGATTACTGTACTAAATAATGCTCTAAGATTATATCAACTATAACGGTTACCATAGTCTATACACAGATGTTTAAAATACACATAACATATCATCAAACCGATTATAATTGCTTACAGCAAAAATGTACGCACTAAGCACATGTCCGAAGGTTTCACGGCGCGACGACATCACTGTCAGATCGCAGAAATTGATAAATCGCGTACATATCGATCAGAACATTGCGTGCTCATAGAACAGAGAATAAAAACTTTATTATTTGTTCTGTGGACGTGCTGCTTGTGTAAAATGATCGTTAATTATTGCACTATTCATATATTTTTTTGTATAATATTACTGTCTCTTTTTCAGTGGTGACGGTGCCTACCACGGTGGACGTTACCAACATGGCTACAAATACTAAGGTTTCTCTGATGATTGAAAGCGTCTAATAGAACGGAATGGACTAGGACTGGAAGATTATTCGCTTAATAAGCATCGCTATTTATTGCAATTTATTGTTGTTTTTAATTTTAAAAGCTTTAATAAAGTTTTGAATATAAAATTTTAATTTAATGTTATAGCCTTCGATAATGTCCTTATTACTATCTTTTATTCGATTAATTATGAGGCCGTTTTCTTTATTATTTAAAAAATACCTAGTCTTTATATTTTATAGTACAACCATTTAACAATACTCTAATCTGAACTGGAACTATATCGTTTCTATTTCTAATACCTAATCTATACCTAAAACGAAAAACGTACAATTTACAACGTAATAATACTATGTTCTTAATTAAATTATTCAAGAAGACGTTTGCCACCAATCGTACTGTATAGTTTCAATCTAATGGTGCGAAGGAACGACATACAAAAACATAGGCGGGCCGTGGCCCAACAGTTGAACTTTGGCAGTCAAATATCAACTTGAGCGTAAGAACTTTCATTGTGAGATGCAAGATTACTATTTACCTCATAGAGTCTGAATGGTCTCTTCCTGTGTTGCTGAATATACTTACGTTTCTTCGTATGAGTATATCACAAATTGTCCTTATGTGATATAAAAGTTCAAAAATCAATAATGAAACATAAAAATTGAAAAAGGAAGTGGGATAAAAGAAAAATCTACTTATTTGAAGGGCTATAATCTTAGAAGCTAATACTGTATGACAAAATACAGGATTAGGATGTGGTTGTAAACTTTAAAATTAATAGTTTGATTTATTATGGGCAGAAATTACAGCCATAACGGTTAAATTACATTAAGTTCAAGGACTTAATACTAATACTAGGATAGACATATGCCGCATTTTTAGGTGACAAGCTACAAGTACATCGTGGCTCCGATTAGACTTAGACGGGCTTATGACCAGTGAATCGTCATGCGCTGGCCGTGTCGCACCTGAGCTGCGGTCGTACTTACGCGCTGCGAAGCTAGTGCCCGCGTTTGGTAGGAAGGCGCTGTGAGAGATCCGGATCTTTTAATGAAATTTGTTCCTGAATCCCTCCTATGTAAGGCACAGTATGGCACACCGTGTGGTTTTGGTCGTTTCGATGCTATCACATCATCTACCCCGGCCCGAATTTATATCCACATGTACACATACAAAAAATGTACTTAACTAACATAACTGTAAGTAAATTAGCATGCGTGCGATCCAACCTGCAATTTGGTTAGGCAGTGTTCGGGGACCTGCATAACATACCTGTCGGCGCACCAAAACATGTAGACGATCTCGGTTGCGAACAATCGGAGGCCGGACGGCGCGGGGAGCGTAGCTCTCCGCCTCGTACGCCGCGGTCCTCTCACTACTCGGCCCTCAGACGCGTTTCGCTACGGGCATTTCTTTCTGTTAGAGCAAAGTCATCTAAAGAGCAAAGACTTATGTCCAGTGAATGTCTTTCGCCTGAAATCATGATGAGGATGTGTCGAAGCAAGAGTCACAGAATGATTTTGCTGACTGGTTATTCCACACTAATAATATTATTTATTTTCTGACTAATAACTGATAAAATTTGGCGAAGTGATAGGTTATGATTTGGGTACGTTAGCTAATGATTGAAATTGCAACAAAGCTGGATTACAGTCTATAGACTCTCGCAAGTTTAGTTCCGTTAAAAAAGTAGTATATAGGTACATTTAGTCATCATAATTTGTTTCAAATTATTTATAACACGTACGGGGTTGCGTACAAATCTAATGATGGAAGTGAAAAAAAAATTAAGAAAATAGTAAAATATCATTAATTAAAATAGTTAGTAAAACAGATCTAGTTACAAATTATTGTAACATTTATAAACCTCGGTCCTTATTCCATCTCAACAACTTCACGAGGACCTGATAAAGTACCTTATTATATAATAAATTCAGTAGATTAAAATAAAATAATACTACATTGGAAACCAACAAATGGCTGAATAAATTAACACTTGAGTTATTAGATATACACCTATATAAACTTTATTATATAGATGTCGTAAGAGCCGACTAAGGAAAAAAACTACGCAGAACAACAGCACTGCAGAGAGACGAAAAAAAAAAGTTTTTCAATACCACGCTGGCCAGACGGGTTGGTGTCAAGTTTTCCTTCTCTTCGCAATGCCGTTGACTTGTGTAGTAAGAGCCAACTAAGGGAGCAACCCTTAGTCGGCTCTTACGACACCCACGGGGTATAGACCAACCCATCCGGCAAACGTGGTATAGGAGGCCAAAACCGCCTTTCTAAGAAAAGGCTTATGTCCAGCAGTGGACTATTAAAGGCTGTTGATGTGATGTGATGATGAAACTTTATTATATTCATTATTTGTGGTAAACAAAAATATATCACTTCTAACAAACAAAGAACCTCTTTCTAGAACCGAGAGATCCTCAACTTTAATCCAATCCCCAAAAAATTCAAATGTCTCGTACTAATAACCAAAAACTAAAAAAAAATGCTTGCCTATAAACTATCTCTCTGACATATTTCAGGTCATTATTACAACAAAACCAAGAACTTTTATAGAAATGCAAAATATCTCTTGGACTTCCTGGATTCGCCCCTGCTGCAAACCCCCGTTATGGCTGAACTCTCAACGATACGACGAACGACGACGAAAACAAACAGTTTTTCAAAAGTCCTAATAAATTAGTCATAGTCAGTCAAGTCATAATAAATTTAAAAAATGTACTTATTATGTCAATTATTATGTCAAGTCATAATAAATACCAACATGAAAACCAAATTTTAACTTCAGGAAACCAATATTTACCGAGTTTTATAAAAAGTCGTTTAGAATAACAAAACGCTTAGACTAGGTAAGCGGCGCGGGCGCCGCTTGCTGAACGAGGGCTGAACTAATTGTTACTAACACCTTGAACGACGGGGGGTCGCTTCAGAATGTCAAATGTGTCAAACATTCTTCTCAAATCTAAATACGCCCTGTATGCTATCGAGCAAGGTTCAAATGGAAGGGTACCATCAATATAAAAACACTGTTATTCTTGATGCAGATGTCATTCATCTAATAGTGGTTTAAACAGTAACATCTCATTTTAATAAATTTATTTCTCAAAATGACAGTCTTAAAGGTAAAAAATTGCCTGTATTATAATTATTATAATCACTATTAACAGTGATTCAGACTACAACAAAAGAAAAAAAAGTTGCATAATACTCTTTCAATTTAAAACTAGTTCCTATTTACAGCTCGTCTCAACCTTCGCTTTGCTGTCAGTGGTATCTGCTGAACAATTGGGCCACCATCAAGGACCCTACGGTTATAATACCTTCGGCGCAAATGCATTTAGTAGTGCCTCAGCCTCTGCATACAGCAGTGCCTACAGAGGTGCTCAAGTCCCCATTCTGCGTTATGAGAACTTCAACAATGGAGACGGCAACTATAGATACAGGTATATTTTTCGTAATTCACACATATTTTTTAATATTGAATCTCGATCCCAAAAGGCTACAAATTACCTGATCAATTCATGCCTAGAAATTACTATCAAGCTTTGACCTCGTGAATTTGTGAGCTTGAATTTGAAATAAAATGAAATGCCTCTGTCGAAGAATAATCGTTAGACGCCAAAATATCATACCAAATATTTCCCAGGAATATAGTCATCAAATGTTGTAATGTTGATCGTTGAATTTTAGCTACGAAACTGGCAATGGTATATCAGCACATGAGAGTGGTGCACCACGAGCCTCTGGTCCCGAAGGTCTCGCAGTGACTGCCGAGGGAGGTTACTCTTACACGGCTCCCAATGGCCAGCAAATATCTCTCTCCTACACCGCTGATGAGAATGGCTTTCATCCAGTCGGCTCTCACATTCCTACCCCTCCACCGATACCTGAAGCTATTTTACGCTCCATCGAATTCAACAGACAACACTCTACATCGTAAGTAATTTTAGATCATTGATACAAACTATATTAAAACTAGAATCTTATTTTTCTATGAACAGCTGATTATAACCAACATAATATTAATTAGTATGCCAAACTAACGTAAGTAGGTTACAATGTCCAAGTCCAAGTTCCAGTGTTTTTTCCAACACAATTAAGATTAAGACCTATTTGGAAATAGGTCTTAATCTATTGATTAATTGATTGAAATTTAACCCTGATAACCAAGTTTGACCAAGTTGCTATGAGTGTTGGCAGTACTGTTCATCACAAATATTGTATTACTTTTTTCTCGTTTCAAATAAGTATTACATTGTTTGTCATAGAATTGTCGTTTACGTTCTTTTAAGTCTAGACTTTATTGATCAGTTAGTTTTGATGACATTGTTTTCCATTTCAGTCGCGACGGTGTTTACCACGGTTAAAACGATCAACAGGACAATGATAAACAGCTAATAAAGACGATTAACAAATGATGAAGGATTTCGGAACGCAAAGGAGTATGGTTGCGTTTTTACGAGCAACTCTCTTAATTCTTAAAAGCTTTAAATAAAATTAAGAAAATTACCTTTAATTTTTCTTTTTTACATTTTCTTTTCATACCATATGCACTCCTTTGTATGAGAATAAATAGAGAATAATTCTCTCAAAGGGCGGCAACTCACCTGTTCCTCTAGAGTTGCAGGTGTCCATGGGCGACGGTAGTCACTCTGCCATCAGGTCACCAATCTGTTCGTTTGCCCTCCTATACAAAAAAAACTATCGATAAAAGGAAGAGCAATTTAGGTATCTCCCTTTCACTTTTTTTCAAAATCATAATATATGGTTTAAAATTAAAAAAAAAAACAATAAATTGTTATGTCGAAATCAATTTTATATTTGTGAGTTTTTTTAAGTTACTTATCTGAAACACTGTAGTGTTTAGTTGTATTGAGTAGTACTAGTATTGAGTTTCTGCCCGGGCCTATGTCCAAAGCCATAAAAATAATAACTTTATAAATATGTATGTGCACTTTGAAAATCAAATTTATCACGAATCTATCAAAATATCACTTTAAAGTAGTTGTTCATTGATGGGTTCCTAATCATCATGCTTCAATACACACTTTAAATGAAACAAAACCTCTCTCATTATTTAGTAGATCTGAAAAGAATTGTGAATATAATTTCAATTTCAGGCAATTTATCAATTTGTGTTATTACGAAGACATCTGGCAAAATAAAGGACGTAGTACCTTTAAATAAAAAAAACTAATCATGCATTATTTCGCGTGTACGTAAACTTCAATAAATCTGTAACTCAGTCATTTACTAATTCGTTTTTACATACTATGTTTGAAATCTTTTTTTTAATTTCATAACGTTAAATATAATAATCTTATATGAATTTGTCATAGGTTGGATATATATCTAAAAAGAAATAATATTATCAATATCAGTAAATTTCTCTATTCGTTTATTTTACTAAATATTTAGAAATTTACCTACTGCGGTACATAGAATGTCTAACGAAAATTAAACGAATGTTATTACTTTCTTCGTTCTTAAATTAAATCTGGTTTCATTAAATGATTGAATAATTACAAAATAAAATGAATATCATCATTAGCATCATCATCACTTCTTTCCGTCCTTTTAAAGATTTTAATAATGTTCATTTTATGACTGACCCGACCTCTCACTCGAGCTAGCGTTCGAGCCATATAGGCTACTTATCTATTGCTATTGTTATAAAACTACGAGCGAGAGGACATAAGGTCAACAATCCTCGTAATAAGAATTCGTTTCAAATTCAGTTTCGATCTACTATCAATCTCGCAAATGTCATACCTAAAAGCTTTTCTTGTACTAAAGTATTAAACATTCAACGTTGACTGTAATGTGATTATATTGTGTTGTGACTGTAAACTGAATCGGTATACTTAACAACTTTACTTCGAGAACACCTTTTATGACATTTGTGAGATCGAGAGTAGATTTTGACCTAACTTCTATTACGACTATTCACCTCAGATCTAAAGTGTTTACATACAAGGATACAATTTATGTATTAAATGCTCACATTTTACCGACTGTAGTTTTAATCACACGTATGTTACAGAGACCAAGCCTATATCCAGCCGGGTACTTTAAGAATTGGATAGGAAAATTTTCCTTTCATATTGAAGTCTTAGTTCGATACAAACTTAAAGTTGTTAAAGGCGGTAAGGTGGAAAAATAATAATAGGAAAGGAAAATTGCTTATGGACGGATGGATTAGGGGGTATTTATTTACAGTGCGATTTGAAATGTATTGACACTGGCTACTGCATCTTCTAATTAAATAAGTGTAATATTAGTATAGGTTCACTCTGACATTAATGTGGATATCGAAGTCTGGAAATCTGTTTACACACTGCTTCACTGTCCACACATCTCGTAACTGGAACTTATACTCGTATAAACGAACGTCGGATCAGACTTAGTCAGGCTATTAGAGATTTTATTGCGGAATGCAGAGTCAGTAGCTAGCAGTTACTTAGGATGTAGTATGGTTTTATGTTCGCTTAATAGCACTGAATTATATTTAATGTATGGGTGCCACAAAAATTCAAAATGGCAAAGAAGTATTTCAGTGAGTTTTTTTGTTACTTTAATAATTCCTTAATGGACAAAAAAGGCAAAGTTTATATTTTATTCAGAAAACTTACTGATGATCGAATAACTTCTAAGCGAGGGATCACACGACTGAAGTAAAACTTCTTGGCTATGAGAGAAAGAGAGAAAGAAAATGTGTGCTCGCGCCTCTCTCTAATATATGAAATGTACCTCTCTGTCTTTTATCTTCACTAACTTATATTTCCTTCTCAACTTTTGTTCGCCTCGCCCGATCACAGTTTTCGTAACGCTCTCGTCACGCCGTCACCACCTTACTCCGCAAGTCAAGTGTGCGTAAAGAAGTTTTATTTCAAAAAGAACTATTTAGAGCATCACATTCTTTATTAATAAAAATACAATTGTCGTTAATAAGTATGTACACAATATAAACAATAATACGTTATCTCGATATCACAGTCCATAGGTAATTGAGGTACGGTAAACACTCTTCAATGTCATCATCAGTAGTAGTTACGACCGCCGGCGCCAGCGTTGAAAGAGCCACTGTCACTAGAAATGTAAAAAGACGAATGTCTACGATAGGCTAATTAGGCAAATTGACACTGTTACACATTTACATTGTTAAACATAGCTTTCCCAAGGAGTGTCTCTGTTCTATATTGTTTAACCAAAAAGTCAAAGTAAACGTTAACAACTCCATATTGGTCCTAATCACTACCTAGATAGAGACTTTTCGAGATAATAATAATTCTGAAACGCTCAAGAGTCAAGAGAATAAGTTTGCTTTGAATAAACAATTCGAAGTAGTGTGGTGATGTGTTCTATCTCATTGGGTAGAAAGACAGGCTCGGATTTATTTACACCGTTCATTGTATGTAGGTATAAGTATTAAATATCAGAAGAGTCATAATTTTTGTTTACCTTGATAAATTTAAAATGCAAAAGAATATATCATTCTTAAAATTCCGCCGTAGTTGAACTTCTACTAAGAGTGATGAAAAATATGACGTGAAAATAATTTTCCACAAATTAATTTAATTAATTGTGTCGTGGAGGACTTTACAAACATACATGAAACGGACACAAAGAACACCTAGACTCAGAACAATAAGTTGTGGATCACACAAAGTGTTGTTCCATGTGGGGATCTAACCCACAACACTCAGCGCAGTAGGAAGCGGCGAGATGATCGCTTAAACCACTACGCCATCCATGCAGTGTGACAAATAATAACTGACATTATGTAAATATGTGACAAAACTGTGACTTTGTAATAAACAAAGTAATACCACGGTGAATGAGGTTACCTGAGCCTTAACCCCAAAGCCTGATTCTAGGGGAAGGGACTCAATAGGTGGCAACTAAGGAAGGAATAAAATCACAATCACATGTGATATATCATATGATTTATAAATCATATCATGATAGCAGTAATGCACACACTGATATACAATACCACTGCTAATTAGCTATTATTATTAGACTAAGACTCGCGAAAACAAAATAATTTTGATTGATTTTAATGCCATTCATTTTTGCCTATGACGAAATCACAATCACATGTGAAATCGCTGTGACTGAAACTATTCATTACATCAAAAAAATATGATTTAAAAGTAGCAATACTTTCCATGTCTAATAGCAAACGCACTTGTGAATCTTGGGTTGCATGGGTCTATGGGTTGCGGTAGCTGATTACCATCACCATTTTACCATAAAAAGGTTCATAATTACTTTCTTATTACTGTTAACAATTATTTACCAAACTCGAATAGTAGAAACTTTTATCGTCTGAGTTCATACACTTCAAATTATACCTATACACATTCCTTGGTAAATCATCGGATTTTTTTTTGCAATAAAGCATATTTTACCAACGTAGGCGTTACTGAGATGCGGGATTTGCCATAATATAGCTTAGACTGATTGTGTGCTTGCATGTTAAACTTTAATAAATCGAGTTTCTGATTTAGGTAAATGTTATTAAACTTACGGTGAAGGATTCTGTCTGTTGTATTCGAGAGAGCGCAGTATCGCTTCAGGAATAGGCGGTGGGGTGGGAATGTGAGATCCTGTCGGATGGAACCCGTTCTCGTCGGCTGTGTAAGTGAGCTGAACGTGCTGTCCATCGGGAGTGTGGAAGGAGAAACCTCCTTCTGCTGTTACTGCGGGGCCTTCAGGGCCTTGAGCACGAGGTGATCCAGTTTCATGCGCTGATATACCCTCAGGAGTATCGTAACTGGAAGCAATAAGTGTGATAAAAAAATTATATAGGTTGCCTAAAATTTTTACAAATTTCTTTTAAAAAATTAGACTGAACTTTGTTCCTACACTAGTACAACAGATACACTTACAAATTTGCGTTTATCCAATTTTACTCTACCGGAAACCTTTCCGAAGTGAATGATTCTAATTTTTAAAAGAAAAATTCAAAAATATTTACCCAATCTGCTAAACAAGACATGATCATTCGTACGATCATATGCAAAAAATGTCATCAGTGTCATAAGTATGAATGTCATAAGTAAAACTTAAAACAGATACTACGTAAGAAGTCTTTTTCTTATCCATTTTCTCACATCAAATCAACAGCCTTTAATAGTCCACTGCTGGACATAGGCCTCTCCTTAGGAAGGAGGTTTTGGCCTACTATACCACGCTGGCCAGACGGGTTGGTATAAGGTTGGTGTCAAGTTTTCCTTCTCTTCGCAGTGCTGTTGTCCTGCGTAGTTTTCTCCCTTAGTCGGCTCTTACGACACTCACTGGATGAATAGGGGTGGTGACACTCCGTATGCTTAATCTGTCACCACACGGGTAGGATACCACTTTCTAATAACAACTAATATTGATACCAAAGTATTTTCAAATATGTCTATGTTTCTACTGCTTCTTGACGCGATATCGCACTTTGAACTTACGCTACGAAATAAATAATTGATGCCATCAATTTCAAAGCAATAAACATTTGGATTTAGAATGCAATTTAATTTGACATTACCTGTAGCGATAGTTGCCATCGCCGTTGTTAACGTTCTCGAAGTGGAAGGGCGTGGCGTCGGGGCCTCCACGGCCGCCAGCGTAACCCGATGGCACTAGATGATCTAGCCGGGCAGCGCTTACGCACCCCACTAACATGATGCAAGCGAATATCTGAAAATGTTTTGACAGTGATGATTAAAACAGCTGCTAAAACTTAAAGATTTTTTAAAATATGTACTGCTCTAAATTATAATATGCAGCTATCTCAAATATAGAAGTCTCAGTCGATAACAGGTATCCTGAGTTTGGTATAAGTTTCAGTTTTTAACACGAGCATATCGCATGTCCAAATTAAAACTTTAGGTGTCACATTACGCTTTGTAATATAAATGTTATCAATTCATCGTGTTTTAAAGTTTTTTAATAAATCTCAGGTCATAAGAAAGTAATATTACAATAATGTTTAAGTTTTTTACTGCTTTTGAATTGATTTTATATTGCAAAGTGAATGATATAAATAGAAAAAAGTATTTACTCTTTATCAGTTAAGTAACTTACAAAGGTTCATGTTCTAAGTAACCTCAAAAAATATATGTACATGAATAAAATATGTTGATTTTTTCCTGAACATACCTTAGTTTTTAATAATAAACATTTGAACTAATCATATTATTAGGCTGACCTTTGCATTAACAACAAATTGACAGAAATATAGCTAAATTGATTCCATTCTGCATCTTGCAATCTATACTTATTATAAATGTGAAAGTCAGTTTGTTTGTTTATTACACCAAAACCACTAAACCGATTTTAAAAGTTATTTTACCAATCGATAGCTACACAACAAAGACAACTATTTACCGCGATAATTGAAATACATGCGGGTGGATCCGCGGGCAAAAGAAAGTTCTTAATAATGGAATACTCGTGAAAAATAGACATGGAAATCCTAATAATGTAATACTAAAAACAGATATGAAAGTTTTCATAATTATCTTCCAAACAATGTAACACTATGTAAACTCGATGTATCATTTTTCTATATTTTTTAACATGCAGCAGACAAAACAATGCCTACTATTGAAGACGGTATCAATAACAATAGGCTCTTATAGCCTATAATTATAATACAATTCCTTACCAGTTTCGTCATGTTGTATGTAGTTTCTGAGTTGTTTGAATCGATACCGTCGATTGCGGCGCCGGAGATGGAATACAGACTGCTGGGATGTACACGTTTTATATCTGCGATGTTTGCCCTTTCCGCAGGTTGCTTCACCTTGCTCGTATTGTTGTTTAGGCGAGCCGGGTGCAAATTACGAGAGGTCAGCTGTAAATCTTCTATGATGCATGTCAACCGGTGGTACGGGCTACGATATTTCCAAACGGACGTGAAAATATGAGCCACTATAAATTATATTGAAATTAAGTTCATTCTTCTAGAACGCTTAGAGATTGGAGATACGACGGAGACATCAACAATTTGCAGATACATAAAAATTCGGAAATCCAGTTCTTCACTTCTGTCATACACTACTTTTTATGAAATAAACACTTTGGAATCAACTCAACACAAAGTTTGTTTGTTCTGGGCAATAGATAGGTATCTAAAATATCAAAATAGATTCGACAATTCGTGCTTATAAACATAAGAACAAACATGGCATTTGATTTAGAAAAATGTGATCATAGAATTAATTACTAAATTGATTTCAGTCGTTTCGACAAAAATAAAATTGGGAAAAATTTAGGTTCTGTTCTTCACCTGAAAGTGATGTTAATAATACAGACCAAGTACATTTTTTTCAAGTTTATTTCTCGCAATGCAATAAAGTCACGTATAGAAAACAAAAAACATAGTTCTTTCACTTTAAATAATGAGATAGGCAGTTTGCAAATATTTCTCGTTCAAAAGTTTATTGAGTAAACTTACGCCGTAATAAAAGAGATAAATGTCAGACTTTAGAAACTTAATGAATATTGCTACAAACAAGGATATATAAATATAACTACGTCTTATACAGTCCAAATAAAACGCATGAGCTTTAACATTTGTTATTTAATATAAATATGTGTGTCGTTCTTGTACAGAACACTCGTACACACCGTGTGGTGACCGATTAGGAATACGGAGGTTTAACACCCCTAGTCATCTATAAGAGCTGACTAAGGAAACAAACTCTGCTGGACAATAGCACTGCAAAGAGAAAGAAATCTAGAAAAAATCCTACACCAACCAGTCTAGTCAGCGTGGTATAGTAGGCGAAAACCTCCTTTTTTAAGCGGAGGCCTATGTCCAGCAGTAGACTATTAAAGGATGATGATGATGATGAAATGTTGATGATGTGATCTTCCCTTACCTAAGATGACGATGACCAAGAACCAATTCATTCTCCCTCCCCATGGAGCTATTCAGCGAAACATAACAAAATTGCGTTATTAACAGGTTTGGCCCGACTTAGAAATTGTATTCTGTGATCTGAATCCTTGAAATGTACCTTTAAAAATATCTTAACAACGCTCAAATACAATAACCGGATCTGACATAATAAACAATTTTGACCTTTTGATATCGACTCTAGATAGTATTTTAAGATGTTTATTTTACTAACAGTTTTACTTACGTGTGCATATCCCGACTGGGGTCATTCATCACGGACTGCAGCGTCCTGTATCACGACGTTACTCAGTATGCACCGTCAAACAAGAACATCATTCACAAAAATATTTTTAATTCTCAAATATTTTCATTTCGAAGGTATATTAAAACATTTTTTATTATTTTCTTAATTCGCCTTACTATTTATTAATAAGTTTTAATGTGATACGCATAACTAAACTAAATAAATAGTACCGCGGCTAATTTTACTACATTAGGTACTTTAAACTATCCAGCCTCTTAATGTCATCATCACGATATGTCTTTACATATGTGATATAGGGTCTTTAGTGTTTTTTTATTTTTGTAGCTTTAAGATAATATTCAGTCCTTCGCTGGTCAACTCCAGTGGCAACACCTAAGAATAAACCTGTACAAATTGCGAATGACTCACACTCAACTGACTAGGTACGGAAAATGCTTCCCTGTCTGCAAATCTGTATATCAACAAGCAGCAATGTTTTATTTGCTGCTAAACGAATTTTAATTGGGAGATGTCATTGAAGTACAGTTTCCATTTTATTTTTAACCAATTATAAGAAATCGACGGGCCTGTTCGTCTAGTGGTTAATGTACCGGAGTTCGTGGGTTCGAGTCCCACCCAGGACCAATAATTGTATAATGTGTAGCATCATTTGTTCTGTATCTGGGTGTAATTTATCTCTAACTTGAGTATTGAGAAATTTCTTATACGTATGTTTATTTGCGGTCTTGTTACTATAAAAAAGGCTATCCCTAGTTTGGGATCAAACAACCGAATGGGACTAATCCCTCCCACACACTAACCACTGTAACACCTGTACAGTAGGATCAACAGCAGTGACCTACGAACACACCAAGTTATGACACTCGCGAAGTCCCAGAAAAAAATTAAACTGTATGGGAATCTGCAACGAAATTAATTAGACCCTTGTTAACAGAAGATCCTCATAGTATCTCCATAGATCCTCCAGTTGTCACATGTAAGGTTTTCAGCATTATTTTAAGTTTATTTTACCAAAGACTACATAATATCCATCACTTCACACATCTGTGTGTGTGATGTTAATAATAATTTTACCTAATTACTTAATCAACGCATCAAAGTTCACTTTGTTTCAATCAAAAGAAATAACAAACTTTACTAACTGTTTGTACAACTACTAAGAAGAGTAATAACAAAATAAATTCCTAATTAAGAGAAGGTACTATAAAATTGTTAACATCACCAGTCCTCGCCGACACAAAAGTGTGTCGCAAACTATCATTTATAGAGACAGCTCTTAGAAAATTGGCTTCTGTAAGTCGAATTCCAACTTAGAGTAGACTGAAAAAAGATGATAAACGTGGACTACTTAAATATGCAGCGTGACGAGAGAATTCTAGTTTATGTTGTATTAAGAGCAAAAACACGATTTCTAAAATAGCAACAATTCCAATAAACTAATTAAATCTATTTCTGTCCTTTATTTATTGACATTTCCAAAGTTTAATATTTATTGTAGAAAGGTTTACAAAAAGTTTAATGCTCAAGCTCAGATATTTTAATCAGCTACTTCATTTTTTATTCATTGAAAATTACTATAAAAGTTGACCTTGAACTATGAAAGTACTCCAAAAAGCAGATTAGACTGATTAGACTGTCAAAACAAAAAGTTGAAAATGAGAAAATATGAGTATTGAAGAACAAATAATATGAAGACACCCAAAAAGTTCAATGAAAAAATTATGCATTTAGACAAATACACTAAAATATATTTGAATAACTTAAAACTAATAATAAACCGCTATATTCTTATAAATTAAACTGTCGAAATATTTTGTGCATATAGCACCGAGATGCTCTGCCACGCCTGTAGTTTTACAAGGTGACGATGTAAACTATATCCGACATTCCTGTAAATGCATCATTACACCATATCTTAGCTTACCCTAGCGTTGAGTGGAGAAGGTGGCACACAACATATTAGATTAAAACAAATAGATCTCCCTGGACTAAGTAACAGATTTCAGACATCGTAACAGTTATTGATCTACAATATGGTACCTCTTGAATGTAAAATACCACATCACAGAACTGGATCGGACAAAGAAGTGGCTTTTAGTTTATAAAACAGATTGCCATGATGCAGATACACATAAAAAAATACACTATAGCGTCAGAGAAGTTTTTTGGTTTTCGTGTGTAGTTTAACATTTTTTAGACCATGTGGCAACTCACAAGACAAGTGCTTTCCTCCCCTTAAGTGGTTCCCCCAGAATTAGGAGGGAGGTGTCGGGTCCTCAATAATCCCATTCCCAATGTTCTACATGAAGATGTTTTACTTGAACACGTCTTATCTATATAACCGATCATCATGAAAATGTTATGCACGTTGTCAGAAATACGGAAAATTCTTGTTAGTGTTGTTACTGTAATAACTTTAATGCGAGAATTTTACTTTAAGTTGTAGTGGTTAAAGTATGAAATTACCGTTGTATAGTAATAGATACTTTGAATTGACTAAAACCTTCATGGTGTGAGATTTTTGTGTGAAACTTTTTTCACATGATACCTATGAGGTTCTTCTTTTAAAAAATGTGCAACATTCGATTTTCAACTCTTTATTGTGTTTTTTATTCAGCTTAGACGTGAAATACTTCGAAAATCCAAGTCATTTTTTAATACGAGTTCCGACGCGGAACTAACGCGACAGAAATAGCACGCAATATCAACGCTGCGTTTGGAGAGGAGACTGCTAATGAACGCACCGTTCGTTTTTGGTTGAACACTTTCGTAATGGAAACTTCGACTTGAAGAACGAACAACGTGAAAGACCGCCAACACAGGTGAATAACTCTGAATTGTAGGAGATGGTGGAAGCCGATTCAAGTCAAACTACCCAGGTTTTAACGTTACCTTTTAACGTTACGTTACCTACAATATTGACTCATTTGCATCAAATCAATAATATAAGTAAATATGAAAAATGGGTGCCTCATGATTTGAGTGATCTGCAGAAAGAAATGCGTCTTGAAACTTGTGTTGCCTTGTTGAATCAGTATAGGAATGAAGGAATATTGGACCGAATTCTGACATGTGACAAAAAGTGGACTTGTTTACGATAACTGTAAGCGAAAAATGCAAACTGCTGACCCCAGGGCAAACGACGCAACAGTGTCCTTTTTTTTTTTTTTTTTTTTTTTTTTTTTTTCCGTGCGGAAATCCCCTCGGATACCACCTGTCGGTGGCATGTCGGACTCGAACCGACTAAAACCGCACGCCTTCGCCGGGTACTAATTGCCGGGGAACCAGGTATACCCTAGAAAGGAAGGCCCTGGTGCCCCGACATACCTCGGGTCATCTACAGACGAGTAGACGACCCCCGCCCCGTGTGGGAACCCCATGTTCCCTGTGCTCCCTGGAAGCGAGCGCGCTTCGCAACGCGCTCGCCGCCACCCCGGCCTGCTTCTGCTAGGGTGACAGATGGCCTCACCTGTCACCCCCAGGCCTGCGCTTATGGAGGACGGAGGTCGTTCTGCGACCTCCGGCGCCTGAGTCGCCTGCGCTGCCTGGCCCGTGCCCGGGCCTGGCGGGCCGGGAGAGTTCTAAACCTCTCCCGGTCCCGCTCCGCCGTCTCCTTCGCGAGCATAACTTGCTCGCAGAAGGAGACGGCAGAGTTCCACGCACTCTCGCTCCGCACGATAGCCGCAATCAGGCTATCGAGCGAGAGAACTCCCACTCCGATGGCCGCCACGAGGTCTCGCCTCTGCTCAACCCACGCCGGGCACTCTGCCAGCGTGTGGAGAGCCGTGTCCACGGTCTGGCCATCGCAGTGGTGGCACTCAGGCGTTGGCTCCTTGCGGATCAGACACAGGTGATCTCCGAAACATCCCTTCCCAGTGATCACCTGCGTCAATCGGTATGAGAGGGTCCCGTGACGCCTCTCGAGCCAATCCTCCATAACGGGTCTTACCGCCGCAATGACGGCGTGCCCGGCGCTCGGTTGCCCGAGTCGTTCCCTCCACTCCCCTATGGTGACCTGGCGGAGTTGGGATTTCCGGTCATCGATTTCTCGAATCTCGGGGTATCGACCCAACTCCTGCGCCTCCTTGCGCCACTGATACAGTGCTGCAAGGGCTCTCGCCTCCAGGTCCCACGGTGGAGTTCCGGCCAGGAGACTCGCCGCCTCGAAGGAGATCGTGCGGTACCCCCTTATGATCCTGATGGCCAGCATTCGCTGCGGTCGCCGCAGTATCGCGACGTTGCTGGCCTTCAGGGCCCCCGCCCATACTGGGCACCCGTAAAGGGCCATGGACCGCACAACCCCCGAGTAGAGTCTCCGGCAGGAGTCATCGGGTCCCTTCATGTTGGGCAGCAGCCGCGCCAACGCACGCGCTGCCCCGACCAACTTGGGGACCAGACCTCGGAAATGATATCCGAAGTCCCATCGGCCATCGAGTACGAGCCCCAGATACCTGATCGAGGGCTCGATGCCGATGCGAGTGCCTCCTACCGTGAGGCTAGATCCCTCAGGCGGCTTCCTCCGAAGCCCGTGGAAGAACAGGGCCTCGGACTTGTGCAGAGCCACCTCGAGACCCAGCCGCCGGATACGCTCAACGACTTGGGCAACCCCGGCCGTGGCCCTCAGGGTTGCCTCGTGGTGCGTCTTGCCGCGCGCCGTCACGAGTGTGTCGTCCGCGTAGCACACGACGGCGACACCATCCAAGAAGGTACCACGAAGCACCCAGTCGTAGCCGATGTTCCACAAGAGTGGCCCTAACAC